TGTTGACCCAGTTTTCTTTCTTTATGCCCCTTAAGTGGTTTCAAGTTTGGAAAAATCATCTTAGTCCACACTGTTTGACAGCATAATATACTGTATATTGTTATCACCTTGTTCTAACCTAAGACATGTTTTTGTTGCTGCATGAAATGGAAATGTTGTAAATGTCTAAGGCTTCATTTTACACACATTTCTCTGAAATTGATCCCATCATTTTAGAAGATATTTGGTTTCTTCCTGTCTTAATGATAGGAAGGAAAGGATAAAAAGTTCTGCCGGTTTGAACAATGGTTGACTGTACATTGTCAGTTTGATCGGAGTTTAATAAGGAAATTTTGATATTTAAGTATTAAATAGTCTTGATCAGAAGTCCAATAATACCCAGAATGATCAAGCAAATACATGTTCATTAAATGCATATTAATTTACTTTTACTTAATGTAATTGTGTGTTCCTTCTGAATGTTTCAGGAGCCAGCTCAGGGTCTACTGATGTTTTACTGGAGGACAGAGTAATTCTGCTCCTCCTGTGTGCTGTCCTGGCTATAAGTGTGATTGTTATAGCCGTCCTCGTTTACGTCATCAAGAACAACAAATGTGGTTATTGCAATAATGAAGGTAATAGAAGTTACCTCATTATATCACGTTATTTAGCAAATGTTAACATCATTAGTGTTGTAGCATAACTGTTGTAAATAAGTGCATAATACTTTTTATCTTTTATTATAGCTGCTGTTTCCCTGCAGCAGTATCTTGCAAAAAGGAATTTAAAGGTAAGATCCACTAAGCAAAAATGTTATGATGCTTCTTTATTGGTATTTGTGTCTCTCATATCTCACATGATTTGTGATACATTTCCTCAGAGAGGTGAAGACACATGGGCTTATTCTGCTGTCGTCTTCTCCGTGATGAAAACTGACAGTGGTGGAACACAGGATTCAAAGGCAGCAGAGAAAGAGAGGATCTACGCAGCTGTCAAGGCCTTTGGGTTGGATTAGCAGGTTAACTGGACTGTTTGAGATCAGTTCGTACCACATGGCAATGTAAGACCCAGGCAAATGAGCTCAGCAAGACGATCTGTCAGTATTTCAAAAGTAATTCAGAGTATTCATAATATGTAACTTAGTTTGAGTAATCTAATACCATACAAATTACATATTTGGGCATGTATTTAATAACCTGTAGTGGAATAGATTTCACATGTAACCCTCCAAACATTGCCAGCGCAGAGCAACAGCGATTAGCGAGCCAGTGGGATAAACACAGAGGAACTTAAATGCATTAACATTAACATGTACGCATAGTTGGACTGTCTACAACAACAAAGAACAAAGAAGCTTGGATTACAACACACACACACCGAGAGAACGTGACTTCAGTCTCTGCTCAGGACTCATTACTCAAGTATATTTTTACTCAGCAGCTGTATTAATGCTCTGTATGACCTGTACAGCATCTGTAAAGCTAGAGGCGGTTATTATATGTGGCTATTACATGTAGGTGATTTTTTTTGTTGTTGTTTTTTTTGGTTTTGTTTTGTTATACATATAATGTACATTTTAATAGTCCAGTATGTAGGATTTAGCGAGATAGATAGAATTTAGTATTAATAACTATGTTTGATTCAGTTTTTAATCTCCTGATATTAAACATCATTACGTTTTTGTTACCTTAGAATGAGTCATTTATACCTCCATACGGGTGGGTTCTCCTCTGCAGAGTCTGTCATGTTATTTCTACTGTGCCTCAGGATGGACAAACCAAAACACCGGATCTAGGTCGGACCATTCGCATTATTGCATTTTCACGTCAGCCACCGTAGTTATCCTGCATGCTTGTCACACAGGAGAGGTTTCAGGTGGTTGCAACCTCACCCCAAGATGCCATTAACATCCTACACAGTAGACTTTTAATTTAATGTTTTGTGGTCATGTGTAAGACTAGATGATTAAATCAAAGTAGTGCTTTTTGTTTCATTCATGTATGTTGGACTTAGGTGAATTTTGTGAAACCGTGATGAGCACAGTGAGAGTGAACGTCTTCCCTTCACCTATCTTTATTGCTTTCACACTGATATGTTGCTGTTGCACTTTGTGTCTTTATCCAACCAGGTTATATTAAGTCTTTCTTAAGTCTTACTTTTAACATGAACATTTTTAAAATCAAAGCTCTGCATAGTGATTCTAAACATAATGTAGGGGAAACTTGATGTGTAATGTGGTTATGTGATTTAAGTCTCAGCAGGAAACTGCTGCTGTTATTCAGTGCTGTTTAATGAAATGTATATGACAGGAAATGCTGCTCCAGTCACAGTGAAAGAACAAAAAAGTAAGTTATAGGTCTGTGACCACGCAGAGAGAGCCAGGCAGCTCTTTTCATCAATAAACAAAGACCACATAGCAGAAATCATACTTGGTCTTTTCCTGTGCCACACTGCTGATGTCAGAATGACAATCTTGTTTTTCAGTATGTGACAACCACACAAGACAATATGCAACAGCCAGCCATTAATACTGATGGTATTAAGTGGGGGGGGAAATTATCATTAATTCAGTTCTCACTCATTTAATGTGGCAGAATAGCCTGTAGGGGGGCATTAGAAGAACTTGGTGCTGCTGTTTTATTTTCTTCAGAATTAGTCTGTTTTCATGTGTGATTTTGCAAGACAAGGTAACAAGTCCAGTAGTAGCAAATGGATTTATTCCCCTCGTTCCTTTAAAATAAGTGCACCATTTAACCATATTTTGATAATAAAATAATCATTTCATATGTGGATGATACATACACACACACACACACATACACACACACACACACCTCAACACCATTCCTTTGTAGTCACAATGCATCTTATTGTGGTTTTTCTGTCTCTTTGGAGTTGCTTTGCATTTCTTTGTGGTTATTTTTAAGCTCTTAATGGTCAATATGCTGTAATGTGGTTGACATTCTGTTTACACTTTGGGCCACCTGTGCCCAGTAGATCTATTCAGTAATCCTTCCATGCCTTACACCCAAATTAGATGTGAGGTCCCCTTTATAAAGATCATTTTTAAAATAACTTTAGATTCACGATGCACCTCTGTGAAGACAATATGAACATTTTTGTAAACAAAACGGCATTAGAACAAAGGTTTACATTCTAGACAGCACTGTGATATACTTATGGAGTACTGTGGCCTTCAACACATTAACAAACCAACTGACTAGGTGGTATTAGTCATTATACTTTCTTTTCTGCCTGTGACTCAGAGCATCTAGAGGATTGTGGCTGTTTTCACACACAGCATTTTTGTCTGAGAGGAAAGCTGCTTGGAGCACTTTAAACAAGGATCAGCTTTGCTCTGACTATTTTATAGATTAATTTAGCTCACTCCAGGAACTCTTGTCTTATGTATCATATTATGTAATTCAATGATAATTTATCCACTGGAATTTTACAATGTACAGTGATTTAGTAGTGATACTCAGCTCTTGGCCTGTAGGCCAAATCTGGCCCCCTGACCATAGTCTAATTCACACTAAGACTTTTTTGTACGTTTAATGTAAATAAGGTGCAAGAGTGCATAAAAAGCATAAATATAGAGCTTGATATATAAGTGCCAAAAGATGACCACTTGGACCTCCCAACAGAAATCCAGGCTAATTATTTATAAATATTGTTGTTGTTTTTTTAACTTTATTAACTGGCCACTGGTCTGCTGTCATTTTGCAAGGCAAGTTAAGTATCCTTGTAGTGGGTAAACATTTAACCCAGCCTGAGCCTTTACCATTTCCAATTTGACAGGGTTATAGTTGTCCATCAACCTTAGACTTCATCAATAATATATGAAAGATAAAGGAATAGAAAGCTTATTATGTTTCTACACATACACTCTGCTTTTCTTTCTGCTTTGCTTGAAAAATTCAGCCTTTTGAAATGGTATCTACTGGTAGAGACCGACCGCTTTCTCTTTCTTGTCTCAAAGCTTTTAACAAAGGCAGTCTGCACTTGTGTCTCAAAAGCGACATGCAAAGCGACATGCAGAAGCTACGCTGATAGACAAAAGCTGTGGCGGGCCATTTTCCTGCCTTTGACCAACCACCAAGGCTGTTTACTCAGAACAGACCTGACTACAGGCTTCAGCAGGATGTGCAGTGAGGTTAGAGGTGCAAGAAGGATGAATACAAGAAGCGTTTTCAGGTTTCACCAGTGGACCTAAGTAAATTGTACTACTAGATTAGAAAACTTTACTAATCCCGAATGGGGAGACCGATTTGCCACCAGGAAAACTCTTATAGACAACAAACAATATAGACACTACATTCACAGTACACAACAGATACAAATACAACAAGTAATACCAAACCAAAAAAAAAGGCCATTTGAGACGTAATCCAGCCTATTCCTTCTTCTGAAATCGTCGAATACGACCACTTTGTCAGTGATTTCGACATCAGACACCTGACGGCAAAAACCACCTTTCATGGCAATATGACTCACGGCCGGGCGACATATGTAAAGTTGCTAGATATGACCTTTTGCAGTGTTAAAATACACCGACAGTGGGCCAGATTGCTCCTGTTGCAGCAGTTTTATAGGCGGATGGGCAGCATTAGTTCATAGTGTGGCGGGACAGCACCTGTCTTGGCGGTATGATAAGCCACTGGACGGTGTCAAGTTGAAACTCTGCCGGTAATGACGTAATATAAGGTGCTGGAAAGTCCCTATAGGGCAGGCAGTAGGGGTGATGGACAGGTCAAGAAAACTGCATTTCTATCTACAGTATTTATGTGAGACTTTATTGTGAAATAAATGAGATAATTTTTTTTGCAAACGTCTACTTTTGTCAAATCACAACGCATATCAAATTATTGTAATACTAGTTTTAAAAACAGTAATAATGATTTAACAGGTCGGGGTGGCAGCAGATTAATATTAAACACTGATGTTGAGTCCTATGCTGACAGGAATAACTCTACAATGCAAACAAAAACGTTTTCTCAAAAATGACAGTGTAAGATTTATGATGTTATCCTGTTTTTATTTAATAATAATAAATAATAATAATAAATCAATTTTATATAGTGCCTTTCAAGAAACCCAAGGTCGCTTCACAATTGCAAACAACCACAAAATCACATGACATGAACAAACAGAAAACACAACTAGCTGGCGATAGCCTTTGTGCATTACACATTCACACACACATTGATACATATGTATACATTTTTACAAATAAACATTTTATTCATCACTGCCTATAAATAGTTACAACTTTTCCTCACTTGGTGTAAATGTAGAGTGGAAAATGTCTGAAAAATATTTGCCATAGTTACAGGGAACAAGTCCATAATTTCAGCCTTAAGTTTAAATAAACAACACACAACTATGCTCTTGTAAATTTAACGTTAACAGACATATAAGCCATGCAATACTTCAATGGCTTTCTTACATTAGAAAGAATTGAACTTTCTTGACAATCAGTGGATTTCACCCAAACAGAGGTCGGCGCTTGTCATTGCCACTATCGTCTCGTATTCTTCCTCTTCCATTGTAGAGAAAGGTCCGTGCCTCTGTGTCACCATCCTAAAAACAACAGCTGTTGAAACAAAGGTTTTAGTGGCCCACTATCATTCCCAGATCATCAAATACTGATCCTTTGTCATACCCCTCTGCATGTGACATTGACCCCAAAGGCACCCTTTGGTGAGTCTATAAGACGCACAGGGCTTTAAACTAATTACAGTGTAAACCCATCCGAGGCAATACTGATGAAATATAAAGTCTGAATACAGCAGGTGGGAGGTGAGGTGGATGGGTCAAACATACTTTCACCCAGGAGGCCGCTGTTTGTGTCCTCTGTGTAACCAAAAGTCATTGTAGTTTAAGTGTTTCATAAATTCCATCAGTCTGTCAATTGTGTAACTTGTGTGGCGTATTTACGTCACATTACGTACTTATTTTAACCCAAAACATGTTGTTATTGAATCTTAAGAACCTTTCTCTTTTTTAGCCTCAACCTTGACCATTTCACAACTTCAACCCTGTGTTACATTGTGTTTCCTCCAGGAGACAGCTGTGCATAGAGAAGCTAAAGAATTCCTGTGGCGTCAGTATCACACACTGAGGGTTGTGAAAAAACGTAGGTATTTGACAACCTGGGATGAGAATGCGTGGGCATTCATTTAGTGCTATGACATCATGACCAAGTGTAAAATAAAGCCAATAGGTATGTTTTCATGAACAAAAAGAAAATTGTAAAAACATGTCATGTACTCCATCTTTGTAGTATTACTAAACTTACCTTCAGTTTCTTGAGAAAATAAGGATGGCGATCACAATCACACAGAGAGCCAACAGTATGCTGAGGATGATGACAACTGGGTCCCACTGTTGTCCTGAAGTTAAAGAAAATGTCAGCTGAAAGTTACTCCTTCTTTACTGTTACCTCACCCATGATTTTTAGGTGACTCCACAGTAAAGAGCTAACTCTCTGCAGGAGATATTATTTATTCTATCAAATTCTATGTATTTAAAATATTCTAATTTAATTTTAAAATATTTATGGCAATGATTGATAGTATTAATTAATAATTCTGGCATTTCTATTTATAACATTTGTGTCAGAGTTGTTAATTTAAAAAAAAAATCATAATTATAAAGAAATATACTGTACAGGAATTTGACAAAAAAAAACAAAACAACCAACAACAATATATATACTCAAACAAAATTAATCCCTCTCAATCGTCACATATGACCCACTAACAGTGTGTGTCAGTGTTTGTATCTGCAGAGAACCTGCCCTCTGCCTGTATTTTTAAATTTTCTTCTCATTTTGGTTTGTTTGGAACATTTCTTGGTGTCAGTCTTTGGACAGTGGTGTGTAGCCCCCAGCCAATAGCAGCGCGAGGTCAGTTCTCTCTAAAAGTATAGCAACCAGGTTGCTCTGCTGTCTCCGTCTCTCTCCTCTGTGAGAGCTCTCAATCTAAGCCCTAGCCCGACGGGTCCCAAAAACCAGACGGGCTAGGGCTCAGTATTTTATGAGATAATCTTGGATGGGCCGGGTTCAGGCTTCAGCTCTTAGCTCGGTTCAATTCTTTTGGCCCGTTGAGAACCCTTTCCTCTGCTCTGTGGATGCAAGCTGCAGGTCTGTGTGTCTGTTTGATTGAAGTCGAGGTTTAGACACACACTGCAGAGTAGCCAAGTGGTCAGGATGACGCATGCAGTTCAGCTGATTTCACACAAAATCTGGCAGTGCAGCAACTTCCTGCGGGATTGTGCAGAGGTGTGGGTGTATTTATTTGTGCTGTAGAACATAATTGCCATGACACAATTTGAAAATAAGGCTTATATTAATTTCTTTAATTTGTTTCTTTGTTCTCATTTACACCTCTCCATCTCTTCACTCGCTCTCTACCTTGCTTCACTGCTGCTGATTTGTCTCGTGAAGGCAAGGAGGAGGGGCCAAGTTTGAATGTTGTGTTTTTACCACCACTATGCAGAACATGTTGCATACTATGCCTTTAAAGAAAAACTAGGGTTTTACGCTTTTAGTTTTTGCTCAGTCAGTCATAATAACATCCCTCTGCACCAAAAGAGAATGCGGCGACATCACTGAAAGAAGGGTCAGGCAGGTTGTAAACAGAATGGCAGTTTGACCAGATCAACCACCACTTTATTTGGAAGTAAAACAAAATCTGAGTGCAACTGTAGTGTTGCAAATAATTCCACCAGTACACCAACAATTAATGTTAGAGAAATATATTTATCATTAACATTGTTTTCTCTTCCAGATAAATCTGACCAACCTGGGGGTTTGTTTACAGCCTGTTGGATTGTCTGACCGCTCATGTTTGACCCAATGTAGTGATGTCATCACATCCCAATATCTCAGCAGTTCGTATGGTGAGTAATATGTTCTCCTAGCTCATAATACCTGCAATTGAAATAACATTCTAAGGGGTTGTAAAAATGATGCTGCCATTTTCAGGGTGCAACCTCTGCACCCTGAGATAAACTAAGTTCAACTGTTTTTAAAGCCATGTCATGTGACGAGGAACAATCAGTCACAGCCGACAGATATCTTTCTTTTCTAAAGTCTGTGATAAATACGGAAAGTTACGCAGAGCTTTACATCTGTCCTACAGACAATAGGCCTACACACTTATAAACAGTGTCCAGAAGAAGATCAGCCCAGCATTCAGGATTTCATGTAAATAGGCTCTACGCTGCTTGTTAAGATTGCTGAGCAACCTCAGATGGCACATGAAAAAGGCACAAAAGTACCACCCAGTGCATGACTTCCCGTTTTCCAGGCAGTTAAAGACGCAGCCTGTGTACGGCCCCTTATAAGATCTTTAAATGACAAATGACTTGTAAAGTATTTAAAAACAATTTTAAAAAACAATATATAAACATACAATTATTTAGATACAACTGCAAACACGTACTTGTTTCCACTTTAGTTCCTTCACCAAACAGGATCTCTCCACATGTGACCACAGCACAGTAGTAAGTCCCAGTATCAGAGGAGGTCTGTATAGTTTTGGACAGACTGTGGAAACAACTTCTCTCCTCTTGTTTGTCTCTGTCAGTGTAAATGATGCTTGGGTGAGATTCTCCTGATCCAGATCTGAACCAGTACACACTGTGTTCATCTGGACACTCATCTGAGGTTTCTTTGTTGTTGGAGAGAAGTGAACACTGGAGAGTCACTCTTTCGCCCGGCTGGACCGACTCAGTCTCCGGACTTTGTTTCACGTAGAGAGATTTCTGCTGATTGCGATCTGCATGATTCAGTTAAAAAAGAAATCAAAAGAAATGATATAAATTATTTGTACAACACAAAACTTGGCACAGATACTAAAAAGTAAAAGATATTTTACCATTAACAGCCAAGAAGATGCCACTGATGAAACTCTGTGAATATGCCGTTCCATTCTGACAGAAGTATGTTGCTTCGTCCTCTTTGCTCACATTTGCGATGGTAAGAAGATAGCGAGCCTTTCCCTCTGTGACTTTGAAACGTGAGTTATTAAATTGTGGGCTGAGTTTTTGTTGATTAAAAGTTCCTGCAGCAACTGTTTGGACCATATATCCAAGAGGCTGTTTGAACCAGTAAAAGAATTTGCCTTCCTTCTCAGAAACTGGACACTGCAAAGTAACATTCCCACCAAGTTCAACCACAGTCAGAGAGATCTGATGAGGAACCTCTGCAGTTTGAAGCAGAGCTGAAGAAAAGAGACAAAAACATTTACAACACAAGACAAAAACAATGACAAATGTAAATTATCTGCCATTAGAGACTTGTCTTTGGATGACAATTTAACTCTGTTAAATGTAAACAATCATATTATGTAAAGTTGCACTTACACATTGTACTAAGAAGAATCAAAGCAGCCAGTCCTTCGATCATTGTGGTACACCACCCTTCTCTTGCACAACTGGTGTCTTCCTACCCAAATGAAGGTTTAGTCACAAGATCATCATCGTCTGCACAGTGGAAATCATCCTGATTGGCTGAAACGCAGCAAATGAACTTCCTCAAAAATTTAGCAGATCTATGATCGATTTTCAACTCTTTCCTATGCATTTATTGATAATTGTTTTTACTGTTACAATAGATGATGTTTAGGTAACACAGGGCATATGAAATATCATGAATTTATACATGACTAAATGTGTAAAAAAAAAAAAAAAAAAAAAAAAAAAGCATGAATGAATCAAGCATATCAACATAATTGCAGGCCAAAAAACTGACCATTTACAGCAGGGCACATGTATCCTGCTAAATTACAAGCGTTGTATTAATGATTAACTAAGCATTACTTTTTCATGACTCCATGTTTGTGGCCCTTCAAAAAAAGTGGTGACCTGGTCCGTCTTCAACACTGATTACTCAGTGATTAATCAGTCATCTTTGTGACCCCATGAGGTTAATAATGATGTTTCCAAAGCACTTTTGTTACTGTAACAAATTAAATGCCATTCAGGTTCGATCATTGTACCTCAGATGTTTTTTTTTTAAACAATTTTCAGCAGTGATCCAGAATGAAAATCTGTGAAATTTAGTGGAATGTTATGTTTCCTCTAATGTTAAAGACAATTATCTTATAACTTTTTTGTTTGTTTGTTATTTAAATCTGCAGAAACTCTGGCCCTCAATGATACACCCTTCCTACCCAAGGGGTGGCACTAACGGAGGCATATTAAATGCCGCCGCACACAATTGGATAGCACGATGGCCAATCAGAGCAAAAAACTAGGTGACGTATTCATTGCACTAAGCCCCATTTGTTTGCCGACCAGTGGGGCTAATTCATATACAGTGTTGTGCTAGTTACTGAAAAATAGTAACTAGTTACTGTTACTAGTTACTTCATTAAAAAGTAACTCAGTTAGTAACTCAGTCAGCGTTACTGACAAAAGTAACTTTTTAGTTACCCCCCCCCCCCCGCCATCACGCCATGACCTTGACGCATGCGCACTAGTGTCATCTATACTTTTGAGTATGTCCTGGCTGTAGATGACTGAGTGGGGACGCTAGAGGGCGTCAGGCACTTTTTTTTTTTTTTTTTGCAGTGTAGTTTTTCTAAGCCACAAAGAAGACAACGTTGCTAAGAAGGATCATGTTTTGGGAAACTCAGCCCTGCAGCCCAAAACATTTCCTAACTGTATTGGCTCGTAGCTGCATTGCCTAAGCGACAGCGGATGGAGTTTAACCAAGGGACTGTTAGACTACAACTTGAAAAAACAATTGAACGGTACAGGAAACATGCAGCCGTCTTCTACAGTGGAGTCACTCGCTGTCAGGCAGCTAAACGTTTTACAACTACGGTACTTGGATACAAATATGGAAAATGAGCTAAAAGCTTCCTCGGGATAACAATGGATATCATGTCACTGGATATAACGTTACTGGGACTAAAAATCTACAGAAGTGCTACCGCTTAATGTAACGTTACAGCACTGTGGTGAGGCCAGCAGGTCGACGGTGACTTCAGAGATGGTGAAAGACGTGTTTCATTAAGATGCTCTGGTAAGAATTGTTCATATACCTCTATGTGACTTGACTATCATTTATTGTTTAGGGCTAAAATGTTTTAGTGAAAGGGAACTTCAGTTTGTGAAGGAATACTGCATGCTGTGCACCGTTTAAAACCTGGCCAGAAATAACGGAGTAACGCAGCGTTTGGTAACGGTAACTGAGTTACTGAATTTAAAAACTAAAGCGTTAGAGTATTAGTTACTGCCAAAACTAACGGCGTTACTGTAACCGACACTACTGATATATTATGCTTATTATGCTTTTGCCGTATCCCGTCGGCAAAACGGCAAAAACTTCCTTCCTGGAAACTAAGGCTTCTAGGGCAGTCTTCTGTTCCTCTCTCAAGGAAAAAGATAAGTGTAGTTGGCTTAGCGTTTCTTCCAAAGCTAAATTGAATGGATGTGGTCCTTCGGCATCTGCCATCTTGGCTGTTTACTATTAGACTCCTATGGCGCAGTGCTGTCCTCATCATGTTACGCCTGCCCAGAGCCCACCTCTGTCAGATAGACTGATCTGATTGGTCCGATCTGCGATTCAACGGGCTCCTGCTCGTCGGGGCCAGATTCCCATGCAGTGCAAATTCGAATTTGCTAGGGGCGGGGCATCTGGATTTCCAGGTTACCCGCAATTAAGACTTTCCCAAAAGAGTCTGTCTGTTGCGGAGTCGTGTAACGAGTCGTGTAACCTGGCAGCGGTGTATCATGATATGAACCAGAGAAAAGAGAGGGTGGAGTGGTGGAGGAGATGGTTTCTCAGTAACTTGTAGCATGATTTATAATATGAAGAGAGCTTGGGATGTGTAGTCTGGCCACTGCGCCCTTGTATGTATGTTTTGTGTTGACAGGTGTTATGGTTTTATGTTTATGTAGCATTGTTTCTTGCATGCTGCATCACAAGGATATGAATAAATAGGTTTAAAACTGTTGGTGTTGAACATAATCTGAGGTTTCAGAATCATCTAATGTCAATGTGCAGTTGATGGCCTCTTATCCCGAGATTACAAAACTTTAATTATTTTTATTCATTCATTCATTCATTCATTCATTCATTCATTCATATATTTTCCATAACTGGCTGGAGCCTATCCCAGCTGACATTGGGCGAGAGGCAGGGTACACCCTGGACAGGTCGCCGGACTATCACAGGGCTGACACATAGAGACAGACAACCATTCACACTCACATTCACACCTATGGACAATTTAGAGTCACCAATTAACCTGCATGTCTTTGGACTGTGGGAAAACCCATGCTGACACGGGGAGAACATGCAAACACTGCACAGAAGGGCCCAGGAATGCTCTCTCTGTGAGGCGACAGTGCTCATCACTGCACCACCGTGCTGCCAAATTAATCTTAATAAAGCCTTAATCAATATACATATACCCAACTTAGTGATTCTGACATGTCTCAACATATCAAAACCATGGATGTCACAGATGTGTACTACTTCAGAATAGACATGTTGTTGTTGTTGTTGTTGTTGTTGTTGAGGGATGTACTGGCAGAAATAGAGTATAATATTTACCAGAGCGACATTGTTGCAACAGCTGGTATTGTCTTCACCTTTTGAGTCCGAGTGTGTGTCATCATGGTGAAATGTGGTCCTGGTGACACCTCTCTCAGTGGGAACTACAACATGAGCGGTTTTGAGTATTTTATCATGTCTTTACATGTCTGTCTGTCTGTGGCCAGGTTTTGTCAACATGATAGCGTCACAACTGTGCAAGGTGTAGTGACAAAACTGTACAGCTTTGAAGTTGAGATCAAAGTGAAGGTTGAGTATGAGGATGGGTGTGGTCCGAGCAACCGGGCCGAAGGTAGGGGGGTAGGAATGACGGAAGGGGCCACTTTAAACCCCCGGCCCATGTTCATTACAAGTTGTAGATTGCTGTATCGCGGCTGAACTGATCCCATTACAAGATGGTCGCTTGTCATAACTATGTTTTTGTTTTGTCTTTAGATTATTTTTTTGGCCGTTTTCATATTTATTGATAGGACAGCTGCAGATGGACTGGAAAGGTGGTAGAGAAGGGGGGATGACATGCAGCAAAGGGTCACGGGTTGGAATTGAACCTATGTCACTACAAAGGACTCAGCTTATATGGGGCACACACTGCTTGAGGTGAGCCAGAGGTTGCTCCAGTCAAAACTACATTTTCATCAGTTTATAACCACCTAACAACTAAGAACTGTTGTGTTTGTGTTACCGTAGAATGAAACGTTAATATCTACATCGCAAGTGAGTCCTCTTTAACAGAGTCTGCCATGTTACATGTTGCCATGTTTCTACAGTAGCCTGAATGGACAAATGAAATACTGGCTCTAGAGAGGGCCTTTAGTGTTTTTTTCTGTGTCACCTGAAGGCGACCGTAGATGGCCGTCAGTGAGCGGTAAGCAGAGGGGTATTCAGTTGGTTGCAATCTGCAACCTCACTGCTAGATGCGGTCAAATCCTACACATTACTCCTTGAAGTGGGTGTCTGATCGTTAGGCTTCAAATTACAGATAAATGATAACAAAGAGGCAAGAAGCTTTTTATGATAAGTCGGCAGTCTTTCTCTCTCGATTTTGTGTGTAAAAAAAAAAATACTGTTTCGGATGAGACTGACTGGGAGTGACTGACTGCCTTTATTAAGTATTTTGAGACAAGAATGAGAGAGCAGTCTGCACTTGTGTCTTGAAAGCCATGTGCAAAGCCACATGCAGAGGCTTCGCTGATGGACAAAAGCTGTGGCGAGCCATTTCTCTTCCTTTGACCAACCACCAAGGCTGTTTACTCAGAAGAGATCTGACTACAGGCTTCAACAGGATGTGAGATTAGAGGTGCAAGAAAGAAGAGCTACAACAAGGTAATTCTAGTTTAACCAATGGACCTGATTGGTGTAGTTGTACTTTATTGCATGCTCATTTATAGTATAAATTACTGTCTAAAAAATCTGTTTCTGTTGACCAATTTCCTTTTTTTTATTTTGCTCATTAAATGCCAAATGCATCAATTAATTCACCTCCTATCCCTCCCATTCAGTCCTAATCAGTGTCATGTGGAGAGCCTTCAGTATGTCAGCATTCATTAAGGGAAAAATTAGGAAATAACGCAATACACTCCACTTTTGACGTCAGAAAAAACAAGTCTTTATTTGTTCCAGAGTTCAGATGTGCTCTGTTCTATTTGTGGCTTCACCGTGTGATGCAGAGTGGAACAAATCTTACATGCTCTCTTCCAAAAGTTAGATGAGACGATTGATACCGCTCTCATATTTCCGCATTAAACACAGTATGGAGCTGGAGTGAGGAAGCAGTAGGCTTACTGTAGCTTAGCGTAAAGACAAACTAGTGGAAACTGCTAGCATGGCTCTCTGCAAAGT